GTTGATTATTTTTCACTTAAAAATGATCAGGAAATTTTCCTTCGTTAATAAATTTTTAACCGCTTGCACAATCTTTATTTTCACTAACTACACTCGGATTACGAAGAGCGGCGTGTTTGTTCGGACGCGGCCCGTGTTTCCTTTCCTCCTGTCACTACTTCACAACAAGGCTCTTTCCTCTAATCACTCTCTTAAATGCCTTCCCGACTGCTACCCGTTTTTCCTCTCGGCTTCTGGCTTCGACGTCTAAGCAATCAATCTCGCCTTCTTAACGTTCAACCTGTCTGCTGCTCCATTTGCATAATAGCCTCCGTAAACTGTACGTGTATACTTTATTCTCCGAGCGGAAGAAACGTGGAGGAAGCTTTTTAAAATAATTCTCGCGAACTTCACGCGTTTATATTATTAGACTCTTACGCAAAAACGTTTACGGTGTCAATTTAGAAAATGTGATTTCCATCTCCTTCCATTGTGACGTGTATGCAGCTTTTAATATTTCACATACATTACGTACTCAGTTTTTCTATAATTGCGTGAAATCCTGAATTTATTTATTTATTAGTAATCAAAATACATAATGCAATTAATTTTCTGAATAGGAAGAACAGGATTGTTTATTATATATGTTATGTAATTTTAAATTATTAAATTATTATTAATTTGTATCCCCAGGTGTTTTGTAAATTTCACTCCCTTGACTGCACCTTCCTTAAAATTTTTATTGAAATTTTTTGCCACACTATTAATTACTATAAATATAATACAATCATCTAGAGTTAAGATTAATATAAACTACAAAATAAAATGTGTAACAAATAGTACTGAGAAATAGTTTCAAATAAATTTGATTACCTGAAATGAAAGTTTCCATCGGGTCGGGTAACGAAAATCGTAAATTCGTAAAATTGCCGAGTTCGTATCAGCGGCGGTGGTTGAAAAACGAGGGAGCTGAAAGGATTCCGTTGTAAAAATCGCGCGGCGTTGCTCTGGTTGAGGTAAAGAAAGGAAAAAACCGGCGGCGAAGAAATTTTATATGGCAAAAACGGTGTTGTACGCGCGTCGGTTCAACTCCCGGGAACAAGTGGCCCCGTGTACAAGCGTTAATTACCAGAAATAAGCAGCCGCTGGAATCATGCCTTCTTCCGTATCTACACATGGTGCGTGCGTGTTCTCGTTAAGAATTTATTTATGTGAGAAGTTCGATTGCAGCTTGCAAAAACCCTGAAATTTTCCAAAATGATAGAAAAACGACTTCCGAAGAGTTTCAAATTCATTTTTAAATTCGACTTTATTAATTAATATTGCCTTTATTGGTTCCTTTCGGGTTTCATGGACCTCCGATTACCTCTTAGATTTTTAAAATACTCATCCACCAGATATAAGATTTAATCTCTGTCTCTGGTCTATCCACTTATCCACATAAATTAAGAATCTAACTTTATAAAAATACAACTTTAAAATATTTGTTACATACGTACGAATAATCATTAATTGCTGGAATGTGTGAAAAATGGTTGCCCCGTTCGTTGAACGAGAATTCGGAGAAACGCATCCGCGGGTTATAATTAACCGTTTAACTTGTGCATAATAAAAAGGCCGCAAACAGCCACTTCGAACCCCGTGTTTATGTACTCAGGCGAGGGAGCTCGTGAATTGAAGATGTTCGAGCCAGTAAACCGTAAACGATCTCGATAGCGGTTGACGGTCTCAGGAAACGGCTGTCGTTGACTGCCGTTCCGGCGAGCCGAATTCTCCGCACGGATTTATCGAGCTCTCACGTGGACGCGCCCGTTTCCTCTGCACGGTTTCCCGCTAAACGTCTCGTATATTATCGTCGTATTCCCTAGAAGTCCGATTTCACGCGTTCGAATAAACAAATCCGCTCTGACGGTTTCGACTCGAGGTGTCCGTACGTTCTTATTCACGAATCCGTGTCGCCATGGGACACCAAAAGCCCCGACGTGCAATTTCGAAAATGATTCTCGCGTCAGGCGATTGAAAAGCGTTTCTCGGTATCGCGCCTCAATTATCGCCTTGCAAGATCGCCGACGAAAAATACAACGGGGCCGCATGTATAAGTGGCGGGGCAGTCGGTTGCAGGTTGAAAGGTCCTGTTCAAGGCGTATAACGGACGGTAAACCGGGCTAACCGAAAATAACAGCGCGAAACTCACGAATGAGAGAACTCCGCAAAAACAGATGCCAGATAAAAGATTATCTTCACATCTTTTGGTGCTCGAATAGCTATTATGAAATTCTTTTATTATTATTATAGTTAAATGAAATGTGAGGCATAGAATATTGTAGATCAAGGCCTTAAGTATAATTCTTTCATAGTCACGCAAGATTTCTACAATTTCGCAGTGCTTTTATTATTTAAATATTTGAGAACTGTTAAGATTTGAATGCTTTATAAGTTTTTTTTATTTAAAAAAATCGTACAACCTTAAATGTTTGGGAAATTTTTTGGAGGCCTTGAAGCCAAAGATACTGATTATTTTTGCCATGAATAATGCCGCGAACTATGTTAACCGGTTCATTGGATACATCGCTGTGTACACAGGGTCATCCCATAATTAACATTATAATTGTTCGGGACAATTAAAGCGTTCGAATAGCAATCACGCCCTCCTCAGGGCGAAAATGCACGAACGAATATAGCCGTTGTATATAATCAAAGCAATTTCCTTTGTTTGCAGCACAATGCATCGCACCCCTGGGGATGGAATCTGGTGCGATTCCCGATGCAGACATCACAGCCAGCTCGAGTTTCGATAGCGGAAACGTCGGGCCGCATCACGGACGGTGAGTGAATTACCGTGTATTACCGTCTCTCGTTTATAGTGCGTATTATGCAGATGCGATGCAATACGCATTCGGAAATATGATAAAATTAACCCCCCTTTGTGCGCCGCACCACCCGACATGGATGCAATTTCCCGAAATCAGCGCGCTTCGGTGAATCGTTGCGATTCACTTGGCAAAAGAGAGACACCGGAAATTGCTCCAATTTTGATACGATTCAATACAAACTTTGTCCAATTGAATAACTTGAAGAAATTCGGAAACCGAACTAATTAATCAATTATGCCATAAAGCTATTCTCTTCGACGTAAAGAAGAATAAAAAATTAAAAATCATTTCCAGATTAAAAGTCAATACATTTCAAATGAAGTATCCATAATTAAAGAATAATTTTTATATTATAATAAAATAAAGTAAATGATGAGAATGAGAATAAGAAATGAACAAGTGTTAAGGAGACTTATTGTTGGTGAGGATTAATGCGAAGAATAAGCCTGTTTTATTGTAACCAATTTTGATAGGTCAATTTTTATTTTTATTCATTTTAAACGTAAGTCAGGTTAAACTTACAACCGTGTCCTATATTTAATTTTAATTAGTAGCATAATTGAAGAGCCAGTTTCAGAAAGATATGATGTGTTGAACGGGATTATAAATGTTCTGCGAATGTTAAACGAAAAGAGAAAGAAGAAAGTAGGGAAAATTTTACTACCACAAGTAAAGGAATGTATCACAGTTTGAGAAATGTTGCCATAAAGGATTCACGTCCTTACTGGGATTCAATTTCGAATTTAAATAATTCCTCGTGGGAAAAGAATGTCAAAAAGTTTAAATTACTGGCTTGAAAGAAGTAATTTATTGTTCATTTCCTCCGTTTGATCCTCTTAAGGACTGTTATCCCATTCCTGTCGATTACAATCGGTATTAAATTTGTCAGAGGGATAAATAATATTGCCGGTGATCATTTCTGGACGAAGGGGATTCCTCGGACGGGTTGATGGACGGTTTTAAAACGCGATGCAGATTGATGCGATTGTGCAGCTACGACGGTTCGACGGGAGGAGGAAAAAAAGGAACGAGTCGCTCGTGCGGCACGATAACATTTCTGGATGCTTTCTACGGCTTTAAACGGATGATCCTCTTCCTGTCCGTCATCCTGTCTACGGGCCGAGATAGCTCACGATCGGGGAACTCGACCGGTCACCGTATTAATCACCGACTACTAAACTGCACGTCTAATTCGGGCTTCGAGCCGCAATGAGGATTAATGACGCGGGATGTCCCGCGTGCACAGCCATTTGTATCGAACGTGCCGCGGCTCTCGGCCATCGTTAACGTAACCTCCGCGCATTCCTTTGATTGTACCCACAACGTGCCAGCTAATTACCGTTCCAGAGAGGAGGCCACATGCCAATTGACAGAATATCCGAATTACAATGCCTCAAACATCTCCCGATATTAACAAGCCGAGACCATCAGCATTTTTCCATGTACACACTCTCATAAGGCAATTATACATGCTGCTTAGCTGCCAGTATACAGTGTGTCTCATCTAAAAGAGATCACCGAAATATCTTCGCTGTTTTTTATGTTATGAAAGAGCTTTAATTAAAACTAAATGAGTCAACAACAAAAATTTTGTTATGAAACATTCGAAACTATTTCGATTATGCTATGAAACTTCTTCACAACGTAGAATACGGACATTTAGGTGGTCTCCTTCAGGTGAGACACCCTGTATAGTTCGCGTGTATGAGATTTTTAAGTTTATTGAAACATTATAGCTAATAAAAGACCTCGCAGCAGATTATAGGTATATAAAAGACTGAAAGAAAGAGGTTCTTAAAAATCAGGAAGAATTAATATTCATCCGAAACAACTGGCGGTTTCACTATTTTTGTCTGTTCGCAGCCTCGGCGGGGAAGCAATATTTTATTAACGTGTTCGTGACATTTACGAACTCCTTTGATAGCGATGGGTGGTCTCGGGCTTTTAAGCGTCACCGTGTACACGCGCTATGGGATTTAGAGAAAGAGGCGCGAACATGTTTATGGCGCAAGGAGTTTCGTTGAAAAGCTGCGTTAATACCGACACGATAATTGGTAGTTTAACGTAGTAAGAAGGTATCGCGACGTTTTTATTTTTTCTTTTCCCTTCGCGATATAAAGCAAGGAAAGCCTTTTCGATGCAACGCCGATATCGTCGTCCGCGCCGCGCACTCGCTTCGCCAGTGGAGACCGTCTAGACCTTCTTCAACGACATTTCCATGGCTTCCTGATACCACGGGCTTCCCGGTGAATACCCTATTTACCCCATACGACTCCCGTTTACCCTAAAATACGTGAATCTAACTCGTATTACGTTTACCCGTGGCATACCGCTCGTCTTTTTCGAGGACAACCTCTTCTTCAAGTATTTCCTCTCGAAAACCTATCTCTGAAATTTCCACATTTCTCGTTATCCAGATATCATAAATTTATTTATTGAAACCGAATGACGCGACTAAAACAGAATTTCGGTTCTATCAATTATGTCCTGAACATTTTAAGAAACGTTCTCCTTCATATCCAAACTTCGCTAGGAAACGGGGAACTGAAAATCTCCACTGAAACTGAACTTCCTCGATAAAAGTTTTGAAAGGAGGCGAGCGTCTCTCAAAGAATCAGAAGAAATCCAACGCGTGTAAATAAGAGAGCGGAGGTCTCCCGTCCGCTGAAGCCAACCTGCCGTTTGTCTCCCCGCTTTCGCTGGTGGCGCAGACTTTCGAGGAGGGAACACTTTCATCGAGGCCGAGCGCGCTTAAGCGGTGCCGCAAAGAAGAAGGAACAAGTGCGAGGTGCTTGTCCCCCGGGGCAACAAATCATCCCCGGATCCAGGCGAGGTCCGTAAGTTCCGCTGGAGGAGCGACTCTCGCGTTGGCTCGCGTTCGACAAACCATTCTTCTCGATAATCGGCCCGTTCGTCTCGCCTCCGGTGCTGCTGGTCTTTCGGCGATTCCGCCGACGTGGCTTCAGCCGTCCTCCTCTGCGAGACCCGCGCAATCGTCCGCGCTAGATTTATCGCGGAGGCCGAGGAGGCGAGCGTGCCCGCGGAATGTCTTTGATGCCTTGGACTGTATCAAAGTGGCAGCCAACGCGGTTCGAGCTCACTTAATGGGCTATGAGTTATGGTCTGTACATACGCTGTTGCATCCTCTCGTTTCGCTTCTTTCCATCCTCTCCTCCCCCTCCGTCTTCGCTGCACAAGCTATCGTTCAGCTCCCTTTTATCCCGGTTCGTTCTTCGCCGGCTCAGTTATTCTCCTGTACAGAGGAGAGGCTCGTCCGCTTCTTCAGACCCGACGCGAATGCTTTTACCGGGCCGCAGCGTCAAAGCGACGTTTAAAATTCTGACGCTCCGGAGAGGTCGCACGCCTCTTTATTGCGAATACTTTCGGCGTCGCGCGGGTATATAGCCCCGTGGCCCCCGGCCGGATCCGCTCGGCCCGGCCCACGCGCGCTCGAGGCTTCTTTGCGCCCTTCGGGGGCGGCGCTGTTCGAAAGCAATCTTCGCCGACGCGACGGAGACGAGACCCGACTCTGTTGCCTGCTCCGACTTCTCGTTTTTTATTGTCGAAATTGAGTTTCAAAGTGACTAGACGAAGCTGGAACTCCTGTTTGTTACCCGTGTCAGAGGCGAGGGGGAAAAGAAGTGAGAGAAATGGTAGCGCGTGTTGTGCTTGTCAGATTAACTTATCCTTCCTTTTTACCCCTTTCGGCTGCTACGCTCTTGAACGTAGTCATCCTCCTTGGTACACGAAACGATTCCCGACTCAGTCGGCACGTGCAAAAACCTAGATAGAAATTGAAATATAAGAGGTTTCCTTCGTGTCGACCAAACTGGCAGGTTTCAGAAAAATTCATAGACTCTGAGGTGAATGGCAAGCTTTCAATTGTGATTTTAAAGATGTATTGGCTATACAG